CCTCGAACCGCCTGCTCCTAGAGTCTCTCCACCTGGCCTCTCTGCTCCTCCTCTCCGCCTCGCCAGCGCAGCGATCTCCTCGTCGTACTCGGTCCACTCGAGCACCTGCCGCCGCGCCCGGTCCAGCTTGGGCTCCTTGGTCTGCGAGTTATTGCACAGGTCGATGGTGCGGGCCTCCTAGAGAGTGTCGTCGCTGCACCACGTCTCGCACCACAGCCACTCTGCGGCAGGCTGTGGATGGGGATCTGGAACTGCATGTGGTTGGGCAGGTCCTGGTCGAGGTTGGCGAGCGAGTTGGGGTCGGCCGAGAGGGCGTGGTACTGCTGGCGCAGGCGGTCGCCGGCGGCCAGCTCGCGGAAGCGCCGCAGGTCGACGGCGTACAGCGCGCTGATGTGGTAGGGGTGGCCCTTGAGGTAGTTGGCCCAGTAGCCCGTCTTCCAGAACCGGAACCCTTCCATCTCGGTGCGCGAGTCGCACATGGGCGTGAACCCGTACGGCGCCCCCTCGAGGTCCAGCGTCGCCAGCTCGTGCATGTCGGTCCGCACGATCTGGTCGGCGTCCACGAAGATGACCTTGTCGAGCGAGAGGGGGAACAGCACGTCGAGGAAGAGGATCTTGTACCCCCAGATCTCGCGCTGCTTTTCTTTTTGCTGCCGCAGCCAGTGCGGCCATTTGTACGTCACCATCTCGTACGAAAAGTTGTATTCGGCTGCGAGGTGCGGGATGAAGTCCTTAAAGGACGGGGACAGGAACTGCTCGATGAACCAGAACTTGACTGTGTGGTTGGTGTGCCGCATGACCGAAACCATCATGATGTTGAGCATGCGCTCGTAGAGGTGGCCGCTGGCGACCGAGAAGATGTTGATCTCGGCGTGCTGCGTGGTGGCAAGCGAATTGGTGGTTTCGGCGGTGGGCTTGCCGCGGCCCAGGAGACCTTCAGCGAACTTGAGGCCCTTGGAGACAAAGTCCATGGCGGCGCCAGCGGCGCCGGTGGCGGTGTCGGTGTTGGCTTCTTCAAGGACGTCTTCCTCTTCCATGCCGGGCTTGCGTCTCAGGCGGGGGTAGAGCGTCGTGCCTTGGAAGTCCATGAGTGCAATTTCGTCCGAGTCGTCGCCGGGGACAGGCGTCCAACCCTCGGCGCCGAGGCTTTCCATGGTGAAGATGTCGGAGCTCCGGCCTTCCTTTAGCCGGAGATTATAGACACCTGGATTGGCCTTGAACTGGAAGAAACCGAGGTTGGCCATGATGATGGTATCGGCAAACTGGGAGTCTTTCTCGGTACCTAGGACAAGCTGCACACCCCGAGGTGGCTGACCTGCCGGCAGCTCACGGGAGTGGCCTTCGATCAGGATGTTCTCCAGCTGGTAGACAGCCTCGATGTGATCAGTACCCCTCTTGGCCTTGATGTCCTTAATGCGGAGATTGTCCAAGTCATCGACCGACACCTTGGACGTAACGAGCCATGCGGGTGGCAACGTCCATGCCCGCGACGAGGAGCGTGTCTTGAGGTACACCCGCAAAGTTGGCCGAAAGCGCCTTAACCTTTCCATGGTCGTCAAAGCTAGGCGATGACTCGAGGACGTAACGGTAAAATCGCTTGATGGGAAGCTCCCCAAGCTCGTCCGCAGGGTTGAGGAAGACTTGGAGATGGACACCCTCAAGTTCTGACAGCACCTTCAGCACGGCAGCCCACTTTTGGCCTACCTCGCTAGCGGGGTTGATGACAGCAACAAAGAAGATGGTTGCCGTGGAGCTATCACCAACTTGGAACGACGTGTGCGCCCCCTTCAATTCATTAAAAGCAGCCGTCCTGGCCGAGGATGCCTGGTCAAAGATGCCCTGAGGAAGATCCGAGATGCCGGAGAGTGCAGTGACAGAAGTCAACTTAGCAGCATCCAACGGGCCCAAAATCTTGTCGCCCAGTCCCAGGTCCTCGACGGCCTTGTAAACTGGCAGGATCCGGCTTGCGCGCTCAGCTTCGAGGAACTGCACGAAGTCCTCCTTCTTGAACTCCTCAGCCGACACGATGGGGCCAGCCACACGGCCGTTGAGTATCAGCGCATTATCGCCCTCTTTGAGGCTGAAATCAGCAATAAAACTAGCTAAAGCAGTATCGTAGGCGGCATCAGTTTCGGCTTTGCCACTTTCGAGGATTGTCTCAAGGTCGAGAAGCTGGATAGCTGCCGCCAGGTCGCTCTCACGGGCCTTGATGCGTTGGGTGAGCTGCGAGGCAGGACGAGCGACGTCCTTGGGGTTGTGCACAATGTCGACGCGGACGCCCGAGTGTTCACTGCGGAACTGAAGCGCAAACAGGAGCAGCTTCTGACCCTCAAGGCTGTCCAGGTCCGCGATGACCGTCAGGGCGGCCCAATCTTCTTTAGTTGATTGGTCATCAGCCTCGATGACCGGCACCTTATCGAAGACATTGTGGTGCTCGGTGTACACCTTGTTCACATTGAGCACCTTGAGGTCTTTGGCGTCCTCGGGGAAGATGAGCGTGTTGCGCCTCGTGATTGCGTTCTCTAGGAAACGGCCGGGGATCCAGGTGCCGTCATTGACCTGTCCGAAGTAGGCTGCCTGTTGAAGAGCCTGCAGATCGCCCATGAGCTTTTGATTCATGGCTCGAAGCCAGTTTTCGTCCCGTGGAATCGCGAAGCCATCCATGAAGACGGAAGGAACTTCGCCCCCAGCACGCAGACGCTCCACCCAGTGCTTAGCCAGATGGATTTGCTTTTCGTGGCTCTCGGACGTGAAAATGTCATTGAAAGATAGCACGGTAGACTCTGGTCGTAGTGGGCGGTCTTTGATGGCTTCGTTGAAGATGCTCTCGTCAGGCTTAGCAGTCTTTTGATGTTCGAGCGACTTCTCGAGATAGGAGACTGCCGCTGAAAGGCCGTGAGTCTCCAAGAGGTAGTAGACGATTTTGGCCTGCTCAATGGCCTCTCCCGTGGGAGTGAGCGGAACCAAGCCGAAACGGATTGGGACTAGCCGCTTCATGAAGGACAAAAGTTGTGTCGTGACCATTTTGACATCCTCCGGCTTGGTGAAGTCCACAGGGACAACCAGGTTGAAAATGTCTTATACACGAGAGTATTGGGGAAGGCCTTGGCCAAAGTGCTGCATCAAGGCCCAGATGCTCGGAGCAAAATCCTGGTACCGCTTGTCCTTTTCGAGGTTGTTCAGCCAAACAATAACGCGGCCATCTTCAATCTCGTCGCGCCAGTCGAAACGTCGCGGCTCCTCGCCCCCCGACTTTGCGTGGGCAACATCTGTGTGCCCCAGCAAAGATATGGCTTGTTGTCCGGTAAGGCCAAGGTCAAGAACACCGTTGATCAGCCTGCGCTCCCGTGTGAGCAAATCGACGAGCCCGAATGGTTGAATTTGGCGCTCGATCAGTTGAACGCCGTTCATCCACAGTACATTCATGCCTTCAGGAACTAGGACCTTCCGGTTATCCTCGTGTTCGGCTCTAAACTCAGCAGAGACGTTATGGGCCCCGAGAGAGGTCGAGTACTTGGGGAAGTCCTGGGTGAGTTTGAGCAGGGTCTCAAATGGTGACTCGCTTTGCATAATAAAAGACGCTGCCTTCATGCCTAGGGATGCAAGCTCAGACTTCTCCAGCGGCTTGATATCTGTGACCTCCTCGTCGTCGAGCACGACTTCGGAGGACCCGATGGGTTTCTGGGCCTCATTTCCTGACGCTTTAGCGGCGCCAGTGTTTCGGTCATCAATGACAATGTAGTCTGTCCGTTTGAGAGTGAGTTCTACTCCGTAGCCATTGACAGAGAGCGCTTCGCTCGGATGAGCTGGGCTTCTCCTGTATCTGACTCGGTATGCGCCCTCCCCACTCTGAGCTATCTTCATGGCGGTTTCATGGTACGTGCCAAAGTCCGACGCCGTGATATCGGCGTAGAGGATGACATCACGGGCGCCAGTCCCGAACTTGCGATCAAACGGCAGAGGCCGTCCCTGGTTGTTCTCTGTTACTGCCCTGTGCACGTCGCCAATGGCAGGTGTGCAGTACTGTTTACCGTCCACATAAAACCATTGTCCACACCCGTCCTGATCTTCGGAGAGAGACGGTTCGACCGCAGTTGCGTAGTATTGATAGTGCGCCTCCACCCGGGGCGCTGCCGTTCGCATCGAGAGGGCCAGCTTGAATGTCGACAGTGCCTCCCGGTCCATATGCCCATCGTCACGTAGAACTTGGATAAACTTTTCATATAGCGCCTTGTCGGTCTTGGCTTCGACAAAATGCCCTTTCGCAATTCGGTCGAGGATGGAGAAGTAGACCGTGGCATTCTCGGAAGCTGCCGTTTCTCTGGGAGCATGTGAGCTGTGGTTTCGATAGCAACCGTGAACAAGCAACCTACAACAGCTCAACAAGGTAGGGAGGCGAGGGAAATGCTGCTTTCAGCGCAATATTGACCGAGGGCGAGGCAGTGACGTGTGTTGAAGGAAGCCAGGATGCGGTGAGGAGGACCGCAATGCCCCATGGGAGCTGCGAGAGTCGGAGCATGGCGCTTGCAGCTGCCCACGGGCACTATCACCAAAAGTACGAGTGTTGTTCGATGGACTTTGCAATAGAGTAGAGGAATTCGCCAAGATCAAGCAGTTTCGTTCCTAGGTTTTCTCCAATAGAGAGATCCCCTGGGGTTTGTTGCCACGGTGGCAGTTGCCGGAAATGTGCTGTGATCAAGTTGCTTTACACCATCGAAACCTGTGACCTGAAAACGTAAATGCCGAAAAATAGTAGATTTGGTTGGCACAAAGCGCCTATGAAGGCTCCTGTTCTTCTCGCCCGCTCTTTGTGTCTGTACATATACATCTACTCTGCGTCTAGCAGGTTAGGTGGTGGGGCGTGGTGGAAGCTGCGTCTCATGTCTTGTTTAAGCTTCTGGACACATTGAACAAGAGCCCAGCCAATAATCTCGGAGCTTCGAGTCCCCCTTCGTCAGAGGCCCGTGCTGATCCTTGAAGTCTCAACTCGCTGGGCCAGGTCATGGATTCAGCTCCCCTCAGGAGCTCAAGTGGGCCCGGAAAATTAAATGTGCGTTTGAGCCTGAGGTTCGCCCGCCATTGAACCCACATCTCGCAGTGAGATGCCACGGTTCCCAATGATTTGATTGACGGCGGATAGGACCACCAGCAGCCGGCCCCAACTCCTCGAACTACCACCCACCCCGCTAGCCATAACTACCCGGCTGCTGCTCGACGTCCGAGCATATTTCGCGAATCGAGCCACGGCATCTACCCTCGCCGACAATCCTGCACACGCCCTACTTCGATCCCCAGTTGATGTCGGGAGCCTACCAGGCCTCGGGTCCCTTGAGCCAAGATGCAGGCCTCCTCGGGAATGCTCACAAAGGTATGTCTCCCTGCGATAGCTTCGTTTCTGCCTTGTTACGCAATGCGCTTCTTCTGCGCGCTGCAAAGAAACTGCTGCTGACCTGCGCTGTAGTTTGAGTCCAAGTCGTCGCGCGCAAAGGGCATCGCATTCCACCCTAAACGGTCCGCACCTCCCCCACCCCCACGCCTTCACGAGTTTCCCGCCGCCAGTTGCACCGCCAGACTAATACTCATATTCCAGACCATGGATCCTCGTCTCCCTCCATTCGTCTACCATCCAACTGTGGGATTACCGCATGGGCACCCTGATTGACCGATTCGAAGAACACGATGGCCCGGTCCGCGGTGTTGATTTTCACAAGACACAGGTGAGGGCGCACGGGCAAGGCAGATACGAGGGTGGCAGTTTGACTGACACCATGGCAGCCCCTCTTCGTCTCGGGTGGTGATGACTACAAGATCAAGGTCTGGTCGTACCAGACCCGCAGGTGTCTGTTCACGCTGAATGGGCATCTGGATTATGTCCGCACCGTCTTTTTCCACCACGAGCTCCCCTGGATTGTCAGCGCTAGTGACGACCAGACGATTCGGATATGGAACTGGCAAAACCGCTCCCTGCTGTGCACCATGACGGGCCACAACCACTACGCCATGTGCGCCCAATTTCACCCCAAGGATGATCTCGTCGTCTCGGCCTCGCTCGATCAGTCAGTCCGAGTTTGGGATAGTATGTGGCTGCCTTCCGCCCCCAGCCTGCCTAGCACGGCACTGACAGAACCACACAGTTTCCGGTCTCCGCAAGAAGCATTCTGCCCCCACATCAATGTCATTCGAGGACCAAGTGTCCCGCGCCAATGCGAATCAGACCGACATGTTCGGTAACACCGATGCCGTTGTCAAGTTCGTGCTTGAGGGCCACGACAGGGGCGTGAATTGGGTGGCTTTCCATCCTACCATGCCGTTGATTGTTTCGGCGGGAGACGATCGCCTGATCAAGCTGTGGCGCATGAGCGAGACCAAGGCGGTACGTACCCCTGACATTGCTTTGTTCTGGCTTCACTGTCTTATACTAATATTCAACAGTGGGAAGTCGATACTTGCAGAGGCCACTTTCAAAATGCTAGCGGTTGCTTGTTCCATCCTCACCAGGACCTCATACTGTCCGCCGGCGAGGACAAAACAATTCGTGTTTGGGACTTGAATAAGCGGACTGCTGTCCACACCTTTAAGCGTGAGAACGACCGATTCTGGGTCATTGCAGCCCATCCAGAAATCAATCTTTTCGCTGCTGGTCACGATAAGTATGCGAACCTCATCTGCTGGTCTAGTGGCACAATTTGCTAATCTGAGATAGTGGTGTGATGGTATTTAAACTTGAGCGCGAAAGGCCAGCATCCACCGTTTACCAGAACTTGCTGTTCTACATCACAAAGGACAAGTGTGTCAAGTCCTACGACTTCCAGAAGAACGTGGAGTCGCCCACACTCCTCTCGCTTAAGAAGCTCGGCAGCCCCTGGGTACCACCCCGCACCGTGTCGTACAACCCGGCCGAGCGCTCAGTTTTGGTCACCTCCCCGGCTGACGGCGGCACCTACGAGCTCGTCAACCTCCCTCGCGACGGCTCTGGCGCTATCGAGCCGGCAGAGTCAAAGCGTGGCCAGGGCAACTCGGCCATCTTTGTTGCCCGCAACCGATTTGCCGTTCTGAACACATCCACACAGACGGTGGACATCAAGGATCTGACCAATAACACGACGAGGTCTTTCAAGCCACCTGTTGGAACCAGCGACATTTACTTTGGCGGTACTGGAAACCTCCTTATCATCACCCCGACCGCGGTCCACCTCTACGATATCCAGCAGAAGAAGACGACAGCGGAGCTCGCCGTCAACGGCGTCAAGTACGTGGTCTGGTCTAACGATGGCCTATATGCTGCTTTGCTCAGCAAACACAACGTCACCATCGTGACGAAGACGCTAGAGCAGGTCAGCACCCTCCATGAGACGATTCGGATCAAGAGTGCCACCTGGGACGATGCTGGTGTGCTTTTGTACTCGACCCTGAACCACGTCAAGTATACTTTGCTTAACGGCGACAATGGTATCGTCCGGACCCTCGACCAGACCGTCTACCTGGTTCGTGTCAAGGGCCGCAACGTGTACTGCCTTGACCGTGCGGCGAAACCGAGGATCCTCCAGATCGACCCCACCGAGTACCGCTTCAAGCTTGCACTCGTCAAGAGGAACTACGAGGAAATGCTCAACATCATCCAGAACTCGAGCTTGGTTGGCCAGTCGATCATCTCATATCTGCAAAAGAAGGGCTACCCCGAAATTGCGCTCCAGTTCGTGCAGGATCCCGCCACCCGGTTCGAGCTTGCAATTGAGTGCGGGAATCTCGAGGTTGCAGTCGAGGTGGCTAAGCAACTGGATCGCCCCAAACTGTGGACGAGGTTGAGCGCAGAGGCACTTGCACATGGCAACCATTCCATTGTCGAGATGTGCTACCAGAAACTCAAGCATTTCGACAAGCTTTCGTTCCTGTACCTCACGACTGGCGACAATGCCAAGCTCTCCAGGATGGCGAAGATCGCTGAGCACCGTGGCGACTTCACCTCCCGGTTCCAGAACGCTTTGTACTTGGGCGAGGTTGAAGATCGCATTCAAATGTTCAAAGAGATTGATTTGTGTATGTGTTGCCGCTTTTGCATAGTGAGACCTGGCTAACATCTTTTAGATCCCCTGGCGTACATGACTGCTAAAGCCCACGGCCTGGACGAGGAGTGCCAATCCATTCTTGAGGCGACTGGTCTCACAGAGGATCAGCTCAATCTTCCTACCTTCGGCGAACCGCTCAGCCCGCCGAAGCCCGTGGTACCTACGCACCAAGCCAACTGGCCTACCAAGGCAACGTCCCAGTCTTTCTTCGAGAAGGCTCTACTTGGCCAGTTTGAGGGTTTGTCATTAGAGAACGAGCCGACGGCGGCAAACGGGCTGGGTGAGGCGGAAGATGATGCTACTGGCACGCGAGACACCCTCGCCGAGGTTGAGGAGGACGAGGATGCCGCCGGTTGGGATATGGGCGAAGACATCGTCGCCGAGGTGGAGGAAGGTTTCGTCAACGTGGAGAGTGCCGATGCTGGTGGTGCCGGCAGCAGTGAAGCGGATTTGTGGGCACGCAACTCTCCGTTAGCTGTGGACCACGTCGCCGGCGGCTCATTTGAGACGGCCATGCAGCTGCTCAACCGCCAGGTTGGTGCTGTTAACTTTGCGCCTCTCAAGCCTCGGTTCTTGGAAGTCTACCAAGCGTCGAAAACCTACCTCCCGGCGTCGGCTGGCCTGCCGCCGCTGGTTAACTACGTTCGCCGGACAGTCGAGGAATCGGACCCTAGGAAGGTTCTCCCCATCGTCCCCCGAGATTTGGAATACCTGGCCTCCAACGACCTGCAGCGTGGCTATGACGCTATGAAGGCAAACAGACTGGACGACGGTCTCCGGATCTTCAAGGGCATTCTGCATTCGGTGCTCATCAACGCGGTGGGCAGTGACGGCGAGGTGGCCGAGGCCAAGAAGTTGGTCTTGTCGGCCGGCGAGTACGCCGTTGCCATGTCCATCGAGCTCGCGCGGAGAGCCCTCGGAGCGCCCGACGCGGTTAACCAGAACCCCCAATTACTGAAGCGGAGCCTGGAGCTGTCGAGTTATTTTACCATCCCCAAGATTGAGGTCCCCCACCGCCAGCTTGCGCTGCTCAGTGCCATGAACCTAGCAATGCGCGGCAAGAATTATAACACGGCACTGAGCTTTGCCAACAGGATACTGGCGAACGGGGGCGCGAGCAAGATCCTGGAGAGTGTAGGTTCACCCCGACCTTTTGCAATCCCTTGCGTAGAGCTAACAAGATCACAGGCTCGCAAGTTCAAGGTTCAGTGTGAGCAAAACCCGAATGACGCCGTCGAGATTGAGTTCGACCAGTTCGCCGAATTCGAAATCTGCGCGGCTAGCCACACACCCATCTACAGCGGCACCGCGCACGAAGTGTGCGCATTTGATGGGTCCAAGTACCACACGAAGTACAAGGGTACCGTTTGCACCGTGTGCGAGGTTTGCGAAGTGGGCAAGCACGGAAGCGGCCTTAAGTTGTTCGCTTGATACTCTCGGGCGGAAGGGGGGTCTAATGGATTTAACGAGCGGCTCTTGATGAAATTAGCCAACGAACTCCTCGGCGGGGCTTTACGGGGCGGAAAAGTCTGGCGGCTAGAATAGCTGATTATGGCGAGGCGGGCAAATGTCTGGTATGTGGAGTATGGGTCTAGTCGTTGTAGCAAAGCAGAAGAAGCGTGTGATCAAGATTCTGTTGCCTTTGAGTCCGCAACGCCGTTATTATTATCAAATGCATGGACTCCTTATCTCGTTACGAGATCTATGACCGATGATATGCATATCAATACATAATAGAACCCACTAGACGATCGTCTCTAGCTGGCGGGCATAGCCCAAGGTATTCTCGATCACCATCTGGCTCATCTCCTTCTCCTGCTCCTCCTCGCCCGTCTCTTGGGCCGAGGGGACAGAAAATCTGGCCGTCCTTGACGATCCAGCCACGGCTACGCCTCATTTCGACGACGGCGCCCTCCGACTGGAGGAACAGAAGCGATTTGGTCGAGGACAAAGGGAGCGAGGGATAGGCGCGCTCGCTGGACGAAGCGATCTCGGAGCGGATCTGGGAGGTGAGGATCTGCAGCTACACCATCATCGTCAGCATCATCCCCCGGGGGAACATAATCGTAAGCTGGGGGACACGGGAAGTGCTGCGGAAAGACGAACCTCGGAGAACACGCCGAACTCCTCGCACGGCACCTCGCCCTTCTTCATGGCCTTCCACACCCGGTCATAGCTCCCCTCCATCAGCCACCGCTCCAACCGCACCGGATACCCCAGGTAGCGATCCCCCTCCACATCCACCCCACCACCACCCGCCGACAGCGCCTCCAACTCACTATGAAACTCCCCATACAAGCCCTGCGTCAACAGCAACAACAAATACAGACCCGTCACCTTGTTGCGCTCCCCCTCCTCACCACCACCGCCACCCACCGGAAGGAGTTCGTAGAAGGGCCGCAGCTGGGCGACGTAGCGGGTGAAGGCGTCCGGGTCCTTGGCGCGGATGGACGCGAGCGCGCCCTGCTCGTACGTGTCGCGGGCGAGGGCCAGCAGCGCGGGCGAGGACGTCGCCGCCGTCGCCGTCGGCGTCAGCGCCCCCAGCTGCAGCAGCAGCAGCTTGGCCCGCGAGAGCAGCGCCGCGGTCTCGGCGTACGGCGCCGATGGCGGCGCGGCCTTGAGCCGGGCGAGGAGCTGGCTTAGCTCGCGGTCGGCCATTGTTGTTGTTCGTTTTTTTTTTGTTCTAGGTTGTTGTGGTGTGTTGTGTGATATGGTGTGGTGTGGTGTTTTGGGGGGAGAGCTCCGTGTTCCGGGGTGGCGAGGTGCGGGGCGACAGCTGCGGTTGTTGGGCGTCGGGTGTATGGGTTTTCTTAAGCACTCCTGCTGATGTTGGAATATTGGTTTCGGTGGACGGGTTGGTTAATCGACGGTTTGTCGTGGTCGGTATTCGATGGATCGGGTGGGAAGCGATGTTGGAAGGGCGGGTGAGGCTGTCGGGCCTGGAGCTGGCGGCAGGCTGAAAGGCTGACGTGCGGTTGGGCTTGGCAAGTGTCAATGGTCTTCGCAACCTTGTCGGCTGGCGGCCACCTTGACAAACTCAGCTCTTTGGCTCTTTATGGACATTCATACAACACAGGAAATCACAGCAACCCGACTCGCACAGATGTCATTTTGGGCAGAGTAGTTTGTACACAAATTCGGTAGCTAGATAGGTACCTATTCGCAGGCTTGTTTCTTTCTTTCTTTTTTTCCCTTTTTTTTTAGGTTTGAAGGTGCAGACGTTGTTTTACCAACTTCGAGCAGCGATGCGGCAGTATGGAATTATGACAGCTTGGCTTGCAAACAAGTAATGACCCAGCTCGCCGCCATTTATTCAGTCAGCTCTCGCCGCCCTCCGGCCTTTGGTGAAGAAACGGAGACAAGAAAAGAAAACAAGGGACAAAATTTCCATGTCACTGGGCCCGAAGTGTGGGATACGATAATGTGGAGCACTTTTGTTCAGGTGGCGGGCTGCGCCCGCTGTTGATAAGATGACGAAGTGGAAGCCCCTGCGGCTGGTGTGCGTAATGGTGATGGGTTGTTCTCCCGAGTATGGACGGTCATTCCGCGATGGAACCGAGAACGGCGTTCTCTGCGGCTTGGTTCAATCAACCGCCACATAAGAAACCGTGTTGTTGACATGGTCCCGCGGAACTTCTGCGGCGCGCATCGGCGTAAAGTTTGCAGCACGATCTCGTCTCTTTAGTAGGTAATTAGTTACTGAGGTACCTAGTTTGGTGTATGATGGTTGAAGGCCGGGGGAGTTCCTTAGGCCCTCGAATTTATTCTCGAGTTTATGTTCCCCTACTATCAACCACAAGCCGGGCTTTTATTCCCAGACACTGATCAGATATATGGTCATGTTTCGGCTGCAGCTGGACCCAATGGCACCGGAACGACCTAGGGAGCGATTCGTCCCCCACGACCTTCCATGCCCGCAAGCCGCTCGTTTCCCCACTCGAGCTGCGTGTCAACTTGACCCCACCAAGACCGTTGCGAATCATGGCGTCCTGCAACACCTAACTCTGCATATCGGGAATGGCACCTGTTGTTGAGTCGGAGGTACAGCCACAAACTCATCCCAGCTTCCCCGTCGTAATTACCGGCCTGGCCGGCGGAATCATTTGATAACCAGATCCGTGTGAGTGAAACGAAATGTGCATCCAACTCGGCACTCGGTCGGTGTTCTTTCTGTGGCGGCTGTTCTATTTCTGGAATCCGCCTCCACAGAAGCCATGAGGAACAGCAGGGTACAGCGGGCAGCAGGGGGTAACAGGGTGCATCAGGGGGCCCTCGAGGGGATAGGCGCCAAGGGGCAAGGGGTAAGGAGGGCCGGGCAGTGCATGTCCCATCGAAATCAACCGGGACCAGTGCAGATCACAAATTCCTCAGCGAGCTCATATCCGCGACATAAGAAACCAAGAGTTCTCTCAGGAAGGAGCCAAGCTCCTCTCTACCGGCGTATGTACTGTGTAGAGAATATGACAAGCCATCGATACGCGTACCTCCGGTCGTTACAACAGCAAACGGGACAACGAGTGACAGGCGGCAACACCCCATCTCTGCTCAGCACAACCTGCAGCTGATTTTGACACACCTAAGAGGTAAGGCGGCTTGGGCGCTGCGGTCTGCTTTCACATCTCCAAATATTGTTGGCCCTTGCCTCTGCCCACCCCGGCGACAGCCACAAGGAACAGCCCACTCTTCAAAAGGAAGGAAAGCGTCTCGCATTTATCTCGCTGCTCCCAACCTGTCTGATGAACTCGCCCCCCTTCCGATTTCGATCGACAACTGGTGAAAGCACCTCAGCGACCCGACGGCTAGTTTTAGTCACTGCAGAAGCGGACCGCTGGATGACACAGCGGATACCTAAGCTTGGCGCCCCTGCCCCTCTCCAGTCTGCATCCTTCTGTGCCTGCTCCTGGCCCCCCCGCCATCGCCGCATCCTGGCAGCTGTAACTGGTTGAAGCCGGGGGACTGAAAGAGGGCCGACTGTTCTCTTTTTTTTCGCGGGGTTTGGCCGTATCGGGGCATTCACCTTCGCTAACTCCTCTGTTCATTACTTTTTAATGCAGGCCCGGGTCCGCCGCCCACCGACAATTCTTTCGCCATGTCGCAGTTTGGCGCAACCTTCGTCCCAGGGGGTTACGATGACTATTCTATGCCAGAGGTCTTCGCCCCCGCCCCTCAGAGGTGAGTCTACATAACTGCAGATTACATTTCACTAGTTAAACAAGACACCCCTCCCCCCCACAACCCAACGCCCCCTCCCCCCCTGGTATGGAATAACTCTGGCTGCTGCCCGCGCCTTGTCGGGATCGGAAGCCGCTGCCGATCCATCTGCGCGGCAGCGCTACCGAAGCGGAGCTATTGGATGAGATTCGGTCTAGACGCACGAGGCGAGGCTGCACGGAGCGCTGGAGGCTGACACCGGTCGGGTTCGCTTCAGGGTAATGCCCGAGGTGCCCCAGAACATGCAGGAAGATATCCAGCGCATGGAACTCGAAGCCCGCGATACTGAACCGAACCGAGACGGCAAGCCGACCACCCAAACTGAGGAGGCCAAGTCGTAAGTACTCCTCCCCCTCCCGCTTGGAGAGGACAACGCCCTCTCCCACAACGTGATTGGACACCGTTTTTGGGGTGGATCAGGTTGGCTGACTGCGGCATCCGTTGGACAGCTTCAAACCCTTCCAGACCAGCGCCGCCGACTCCGCAGCCATGGACGCCCCCTCGTTTTCCCCGTTCCCTAAGGTGAAGGGCGAAAACATTCCTCCCAGCGACGAGGAGAAGGAACAGATCCTGTGGCAGGCGCGCAACCTAGTGCTCCACTCCAACAATGTTTCGATGCAGGTGACCTGGGCGCGCGACACCCTCATCTGGGTCGAGATCTGCCAGGACGCGCTGGCCAGGGACTGGAAGCGGGACGGCAAGGGCAAGGAGCGACCGGCGACCCCTAAGGCCGAACACGAACTGCGCGTAGATGCTGTGAACATCCTCGACTACCTATCCCAACAAGACCATCCCGAGGCGACCTTTATGAAAGGGAAATGGCTCGAGTTTGGCAAGTTCGGGTTCCGCGAGAACAAGCGGGAGGCATACGCCTTCTACAAGAAGGCCGCCGAGATGGGATACGGGCGGGCCGAATACCGGATGGGCATGCTGTACGAGAACTCCAACGACATCCCGAACGCCCTCAAGCACTACTCGCTCGGCGTCCAGCTGGGCGATTCCGCGTCCAACTACCGCCTCGGCATGATGCATCTCATGGGGCAGCACGGGTACCAGAAAGACTTCCTTCAGGGGCTCGAAATGATTCAACACGCCGCCGACACAGCTGATGAGGATGCGCCCCAAGGAGCCTACGTTTACGGCATGCTCATCGCCCGGGAGCTGCCCGACATCACCATGCCCGAGCACGTCCTCCCTTGTGATTTTGCGGTGGCCCGGCAGTACATCGAGAAAGCCGCCTATCTCAGCTTCGCCAAGGCGCAACTGAAGATGGGCCAGGCATATGAGTTGAGCCAGCTCGGCTGTGACTTCAACCCAGCATACTCCCTCCACTACTACGGCCTCGCTGCCCGCCAAGGCCAGCCGGAGGCTTCGCTCGGTGTTAGCCGGTGGTTCCTGTTTGGCTACGAGGACCTGTTTCCCAAAAACGAGCAGCTGGCTTTCAAGTACGCCACGGAAGCGGCCCAGTCAGGGTTGGCAACCGGCGAGTTCGCGATGGGGTACTACCACGAGATCGGCATCCACGTCCCTAAAGACGTACGAGAAGCGCGGAAATGGTACGAGATGGCAGCCGATCACGGGAACAAAGACGCGAAAGACCGGTTGGAGTCCCTGAGTCAGTCCAGAACGCTGACGAAGGCGGACCACGAGACGACGACCCTCACGCGTATCAAGTCGCAGCACGGTTCGCAACGCGGGAAGCGGCCCGACCGGTTTGCCAAGCAGAACAGCGTACTGCCAACACTGAGCGAAGGCGATCAGAATGCCGCCACCCGTATGTCTCCCACCCACTCTGGCAGGGCAACAATAACTAACGGAATTGCAGCCGGGATCCAGTTTCCTGACCCGTCACCGAGGCCGCCGGCTTTTACCGTGAACCTTGACAACAACAACAACAACAACAACCTCGCGATGCGGCCCAAGTCGGCAGCTCCTTATCCTCACGAAGACCAGCCGATGTCACTCAACGGCAGGCCGAAATCAAGCGCGCCGTACCCCGAAGGCGATATGCGGGGCCCACACCTCAACCCAGCGACTCGTCAGCCTGTCGGCGCCGGTCCGCATGCCGACCGCCCGGGGAGCGCGTTTGGCATTCGTCCGCTATCCCCCGGTAGCGGGCTACCTCCCGGCCCTGGCCGGGGCCGTCCTGTGTCAAGTCAATCTTCGATGGGAAACTGGGACTCTCAGGCACCCGCTGGCTACAGGAAACCAAGCCCTGGCCCCGGAGGCCAATGGCAGCAGCCGCCCCCGCCGCAACACGACCCGCGGTATGGAGCCGGTGGGCCCGGAATCGTTCCCGCCGGTATGCCCGTCGGCGACCCCACCCGCACGCGACTCCAAAAGCCCAACCCCAACCTCCAACCAACATCCCAAGCACCCCCCTCAGGCCAGCACCGGGTGGGCGGAGGTTATCCCGGCGGTCCGGGTGGCCCCGGTGGTCAACCAGGACGAGACTACGGGCGACCTGGCGCCAGCAACCGCCCGGTCAGCGACAGCTACGGGCCAGCAGGCAGCGGCGGCAGCGCACACCCGCCGGCGGCAGCCGGCCGCGTGCCCGTCCCCGCAGGCAGCAACCCCAACCTTCGTCCTCAACACGGTATGGCCGCGGGTTCGGGTGGTCGGCCGGTGTCGCACGTGGATGCCGGCCTGGCCGGGCGTGCTAGCGCCCCGCAAACCGGACAGAACGTCAGACCGGGTCCGAGCCCGGCCGGTGCGACATCAAGCCCCGGCCCGGCTGCGGCAGGGCAACGGCCCCCGCCTGTCGGCGGTGCTGGTGGAAAACCGGCCGCGGGGAATATGAGCCATCCCGACGGGAAGACCATGGGTCAGGGGCCTGCTACCTTTGAGGAAATGGGTATCCCGCAGGGAAAGACGGAGGGCGATTGCGTAAGTTTTATATTTCCTCTTTTAACTTGCCGAATGCTTGATTGTTCTGGTGCTAATAAGATGATAGGTGGTGATGTAACCAGCCAGCCGACAGATCGGATCTCAGCCACAACATACCGAGTCTTTCCTTGGGTTTAGTCTAGCTTAGGATATAAGCGAAGGTCGGGGCTGGTGGGAAATGCTAGTTTTACATTGCCCGAAATAGAAACCCGAATATAGATGTCACATTACCTGTAATCTTTTTTTCTTTTATTTTCTTCTACTTTAGTTGTTGAACAATTTTAAGTTCTGTTTTAGGTACTTTCAACAACCCCCCACGGCCCCCTCGGCTTTTCCCCTTTTTGGTTTTCAATATTAGTTCCATTTTACTTTACTTAACTATTTTAATTCAATTCCTTTTTTCCTTGATTCATTTTTCTCCATTTTGTGGTCGTTCTAACAAACACCTGTCCAGGATGAGGTGTAACAATGAGGTAAAACTAAAATAGAAGGAGACACATTCTAGTTAGTAGTTATACGTATAATAAGAATACCAACCTCCCAACTCTACCTCGTTTTTTCCGAGCGTGGACTGTATCATTCATTGAACTTATATGACATCAATACGGTAAATGCCCAGCCAAATCTCACAAAGAAAAGGGGAAACGCTATTTGAGTCAGGGGTTACATATGTGTGCAAATGACGTCTTACAGAATGGGAATCTAAACAGTCTAGGGCATGGGGGCTAGGTTTTGGCATGGGCCCAAGACCTCTCTTAAACCTTCTTCGGTTAGGTTCCTTCTTGGATCTCTCCAAACTGATGGAGCTTTAGGAACCAACCCGATTGTTAAGATACATTCACGTTTTCGACTTTACGGCCAAGCTTACAGTTTTGTTTCACGATGCAAGTCTCACTCCTCGCTCTCCTATGTGCTGCTCTCCTCCGTGCTGCTCTCCTCTCTCGTAGCGGACGGCCAGATCTTTTTGTCACTTGTGTTCCGCACAATCCGACCGTCTTCTGAACGCTTCGCCCGGACCAGCTCGACTGGGTGCTCGGTTTTCTCTGTCAAGACTATCTGGTAGTCTTTTCCGCAGCTCGAGAGGTTCGGCGCAAGCTTTGCAAACCAGAACCGCCCCCGCCCCCCGTGACCGTGGTGTGAAGTGATTGGGAGACACCGGGAGCTGTGCGTGATGACCGTCACCTCCTTGTCCCAGTCGTCGTAGTCGTCGGGGTAGTTGGCGTACTTCAAGAGGATCTTCCCATCTATATCATACATCATAATGTAGATGCCATCGGCATACCCAGACGGGTTCAGCCTCGCCACTAGCCCGTAACCGGTCTCACGCCAACCGTACGAATTTTCCGCCCATAATTTGGATAATTGTTTCTCGTCACCGTCCTCCCAGGGACCCTGCCGGCCATTTTCGCGCTCGCCGTATTCGAGGTCCCCGAGCTGGATGAACGGAAAGCCAGGCTCATCGGCGCTGGCGTCGGCGCTCTCGACCGATCGTGTCGATGTCTCGGACAGATTGCCTGGTTCGTCATATGAAGATTCGCGTGGGTTGACGGTCAAGTTCACTCCGAGAAAACCTGGCCCCATCAGTGATTCTGAAAGACGAGCCTGCTCGGCCGTAACATCCCCCCATAGATGGGACATGAGATGCGAAACAAATGTGACAAGACGGTAAATAAAGGGACCGTCGAATCCGATCGGGATTACGATAGTATCCATTGGATCGCTCAGCTTCTCGCGAGCTTTGATGCTGTGAAAGCTCATCGAATCGACCTGTCGAACGAACTCCTCAGCTGTCAATACTTCCAGGCGTCTTGTCAAACTCTTGGCCCATATCCAGTCGTAAAACTCTTGGAGGTCTTGGGGATCCCTCACCTCACGGCTGAGGGTGACACTTGCTGTATTGTAATCCTGCGTCAGCATCTCCTTGGCGATGCTTTCGTACCTGCTCGACTTCTGCATCCAATCCTCCATGTCAAAAGACTTGAAAATGGGTAGGTCAGCGGCCGATACCGTGTGCCAGATCTCACAGGTCAAAGACTTCAACGCTCAGCGACTCGACACGCCATTGTATTTAATTCAGATAGAAAAAGTGCCTGGCAAATGTTATTGGCTGATAAAAAAAAAACATGTTCGTTCCGTTACCCGTCCTTCGCAATGTGCGGTGAGATCGCAGCTTCGCCCTGTGCTGTCACGCTCTAACATTGGGTTTATGATTCGGCCGCCCGACAAGGGTGGCCCACCCAAGCTTCGGCGTTCCGAGCCGAGTCACTGAACCTTGAAGTCTTTGATCTGTGAGATCTGGCACGCGGCATCGGCCGCTGACCTGCCCAATCCGGAATTCATAGGCAGAAAAAAACACTGTTATAAGAAAAATTCCCGGAGTGCTCCCTCGCACCCCCGAGACCCGGCCAGGGCACTTATAGAGACCCTCTAACATGTTGGACGTGGAAAGACTGAACTTATAGGTTGATTGCATGTGGGTAATCTAAAGAGTTAACCTCAATGGATCTGGTAATAGCTTTTTAAGTTCAGGTGGGTAAATATTAAAGATTTTTAGATATCATAAACAGGTTATACTCGGTGGTTTTCTTAGATTACAACTTAATTAACAACGAAGTAGACACTGGAGTTTACGTTACTCTATGAAGTTAGATAGCGTAGACTATATAATATTGCCATCACGAGGAGTCCCGGAGGTTCTGACTCCTGCCTGCGAGTGTGGCGAGGGACGAGAGACTGCCGAACACCTGGTAGTGTGGTGTTTGGCCCCACCGTTGACTCGAAGATGGGAGAGAACTGGAATTCGGAGACGACGGGACTTTTACTCTGTTCTACACGGCATCATTCCCACAACTGCACGGATCGCGAGGAGAGTCCTCGACTGGCTGATGGACTCGGGGAAGCTGCCGATGTACAACTTGGCCAGGAGGCCTCCTCTCTTTGTATACGCAGACTCACCAGAACGCATTGTTCCTTGATTGTTGGTATGGGTTTTTCACCCGGCCCGGGAGGGCACGGTTTTCCTGTACACTAAATATCTGAGAGTCCGGCACGCCCTAGGGCATAGCGGAGTATGAATAACAATAATAATAGTTAATAATAATAATAATAATAGTTATTTATTATACATAATAAGCCCTTTTACGTTTAGCCTTAGCCTTTGGGGGGTTGATACCTAGGAAATTGAAGCCTAGCAACATATCCATGGTACATGCACCTGTGGGCGACTCGGTCCATGTATTGGCATGTAAATTGAATTCCGCGGCATGTTTGGATTCTTGCAAACATATGGCAAGCTCCCTCTTTTGGACTAGTCCAGTGTCAGAGCTCTCAATGTGAAAGGGATAATGCAGTTAAGGGAGAACCACGGGCTAATCTTCTCCAAGGTACTCCTTTGATACCCTCTTGTCCAATTGGCATTGTTGGATCAGCCTTATGTTCTGGAACAGCAGCTATGCTTGAAAAAGCACCTGTGTTCTTGGAACAACATCTAATGCAGGATTAGACAGGCCTTGGACAAGCTTTGTTTGCATTTCAGTCTATAGATACTTAGTGAGTCACTTTTTATTCACTTGCTTGTTTGTCGTGAATGATTGCTGGATTCACACTTCTTTGCAGAGCCATCCAGTTCCTCCCCTCCCCGTAGAATACTTGCCTACTTCAACAGACCTTTCCCCGATCTCAAGCCCCAACAGAGCTTCTTCTCTTCTCCCTGTCCTGGCACCCAAGCCTCGTATCGACTTCCGGTGTTGTGTCTTCTTCTCGACGCTTTTGCCGAAGTGGCAACCATCATCATGGACCCCAAGTCTGCCCTCTCGCTCGGTCGAATCGAGCACACAGATTGCCCCAAGTTTCCAGAGGATGAAGATCTTGAGTACATGAAAGAGAAAGGAACAATACTGTTACAGGTGATCGAGGTGGCTGGCTATAAGTTGGAGCACGTTGCAAGCGTCTTTACCAAGGCAGAGCACAAGCTTCTGAAGGGCGAACGACAGATAGCCGTTGATTTTGTCCGCGCTGTCTACTTTTGGAGGCATAACCTGATCCAGGAAACCCTCGAATTCTACGGGAAGCTTTCAACCTATTCGAACCTGCTGAGCAAGACGGAAAAGACCATTAACAATTTGGATACCTGCCTCAAAGAACTGGAAGAGGCAATCAAGGAGAATGAATGGAGCGCCGACCTAGCATCCTTCGTCTCCCCCACCTCGGTCCCAACAGCCTGCCCTTACCAGCTGTTCGTTGAGACCTATCTCGCGAGGGAGGACATTGTGGCAGACCTCCGCGAGTGGGATGACGACGACGACGCCGGGATCATTGAGGAGATGGCGAATCGCCTCAGGAAATTACTCTTGAACTCCAATTCCCCCGACCTCGGAAAGGTCGGAGGTGGACAGCCCCAGGTGGCAGCCATAGCGGTGCACCGTGACGGCAACGGCGACAAAAGCTTCGTTGTCGGTTGCAGCGGGCCGGAATGGCGGGGCTTTCCCCCTGTCGTTAGGATGGTTAAGCGCCTGCGGAAGCGTCGACTGGAGAACTACCACTCTTGCGGCACAGATGCCTTCAACGCGCTGTGGAAGCTGGTGAAAGACAAAGGCGGCGCCAAACCATACGATCCCACCAAGACGGGGTCGGACCAGCCGAAGGAGTCGGAGGAGGCGAGGAACAAGCGGCGGGAGCCGATACGCCAAGCCCTGAAGGAGATGGAAGAACACGAGTCGTTCCTCGGCAAGAGGGGTGAGGTGTGCATAGCATTCGACACGGCGACGTGGGAACGCAAGCCGGCTTGCTTGGTCTGCTATGGCACTCTGGGGGACCAGGACCCGCTGGGTAGGACCGAAGCCGCGAAACTCGAGAGCATGGATTACTTCCTCGGCCATGTCTAGGAGCTGCGCCAGGATAATCCATACTCTTGTGCTGAGGCAGAGGTACGTCTGCAGTGTGAGCATAAGGACGCCGTAGCCAGGTCAAGAGGATCACTGTCACCATTGCTGGAACTTTGATCGCCGGCCTTGCCGCCTTCTTTCTCTGGCGATTCAATTTGCCAGACTCATGTTCTTTAGCGACTTTGAGCCGCAGGCAACAGGGCGAGCCAAAGGGGGAAGAGGGGGCAAGAACGCTGGGACTCGGGAGATGCTGGGTCTGGGGGACGCTGTGACTCTGGGTGAGCTGGAGCGCCGAGGGGTGGGCTGGGGCGCCGGGGGTACGGTGTGGAGGTGGAGAGATTGAGATGATGGGAGTGATAAAAAGGGCGAAGTGATCCCGCTGCTCAGCATCGGGTAGGAGGGAAGATTGGAAGAAGCATGAAGGAAGCATGTATTTACATTTTATCATCCTGTCTTTACACTTTACACGTCATCATCTCTACAATCTTTCTCACTATCATCATCGCAGACTCTAAAACACTATTTATTTATTGCTAATGGTAGTTGATAATGTCCAACGAGAGGGGATACAGAAAAGAGAAGAGGGACCTCGCATAACATACAGGCATAGCCAAAAGCTGAAGACAGGCTGTTAATGGGCGTCACGCAGAAGCCTGCCCAAGATCAGGCTCGCCAGGCCTTATATGTAATTAATTTCCCATAATACAAGAAGTCCGAAAGAAAATGTGACCACGGTGACCACGATGTGTACTTTATGTATTCTGTTTTGTATAACGTCAAGAATTAGTTGACATATGATCACTTACCGACCTAATTATCGCTGAAGTCTAGCTTCCTCTGACATACGTAGGTTTGTATATATATATATATATATGACTGCCAGTTACCTACTCCCATAAACTCTCCTTTTCGCGTCTGCTCGCTCTCCTCATCTGCAGCTCTTAGATCTAACACCTCAAGCAAACTAAAGCAAATGGCGGAATTTAATGCGATGAATCGTGCCTCCGGTGATGCTTTTCCTCCCCGGAATCCGGTGATCGCTAAATCGTGGATGGCAGATGTTCAAAGCTGAAGAAGTTGGGGTTTCGGGTTACCCTTATTGGGTACATGTACGCCGGCAACGGCGCCCCCAACTGCCGACACGAATGCGGCATGCGGGGGCGGGCCCGGAGGAGCATTACCGGCGCGGCCCGCACAGCGATTGCTGCTTTACTTTACATATACTGAGTACATACTGCGTTCTTACCTAGAGGTACTCGGACAATGATGTCCGTTCCACCACCACGTGCAGACCACATTACTCGCCCACCCTCCCCTGCAGCAACGCACACACACACACACATCACGATTCACCACATACACTAGCTGCTAATCCCCCAAAACCCCGACCCCAACCCGATGGCCAGCAAATCCATCATCGTCACCGGCGGCGCCAGCGGCATCGGCCTCGCCGTGACGCGGCACCTGGCCGCACAGGGCCACCGCGTCGCCATCCTCGACCTTAACGCCGCCGCCGGGCCCGCCGTGGCCGCCGAGGTGGCCGCCGAGTTCCCGCGCGCCGCCGTGTCGTTCCACCCGTGCGACGTCGCCTCCTGGGACGAGCAGGCCGCCGCCTTCCGCCAGGCTTTTGCCGAGCTCGGCGGCCGCCTTGATGTCGTCGTGGCTAATGCCGGGGTGTCGGAGCAGGGGGCTACCTCGTTAGTGAGGCTCCCGCTGGGTGGGGGCGTGGAGGGGGAGGGGCCGGGGGAGGGGGAGGATGAGGGCCCGACGAGGCCTAGTGTGGCGACGCTGCAGGTGAATCTGCTGGGGACGGTTTACTGTGAGTGTGGACGTGTTTATTTTTTATTTTATTATTTTATTCTTGCGTTGGTTGTTGGCTGGTTTGTCTCCAGTCGGCTGTAGAATTCTGAGTGCATGTCAGTGACACGGCTCTGGCTGACCTGTGGGCTTCAAACTTGCGTTCTTGGGGCGGACAGCGGTAAACTTGGCGGTGCATTACATGAATAAGAAGCCCAAGTCGGAGCCGGGAGGACCATCCAGGGGATCCATCATCTGCACCGCATCCAACGCGGGCCTGTATCCGCTTCCGGTTGCGCCTTTGTATGCGGCATCCAAGTTTGGCGTGGTGGGGCTGGTGCGGTCGACGGCGAGGATTATCGCACAGGCAAACATGCAAATCAACGCGCTGGCACCTGCCGTGCTGGGTATGTGCCCCTTTTCTTTTCTAGTCACGGCTGTGACAGTACTGGAGTTGCTTCAGGAGTCGGATCCACGGAAGAAGAGACTGACACCAGCTGCCTTGCCTCCTAGATACCAACATCGCCCCTGATAAAAGCCTCTTCAAGCATATGACCATCACTCCCATGGAAACCCTGATCCGGGGCGTAGACCAGTTTCTTGCAGACCCGACGGTCTCGGGGGCCGTGGCTGAGATACACGGGGATAGGGTGACCATCAGACCACCACACGAGTACGTGGACGAGGACAGCAAAAAGAATATCGATACGTTCTGGGATTTGGGGTACGCATGACGGTGGCGGCTTTTCCTTCTCCGGCGATCTCTAGGACAAAGAAGCCGGGTCTGATATCTTGACGGTAATAGTTGCGTTCCGAGTCGGGCTTTCATGGATCCTGTGTCCTAACAAAACCCACCCAAAACAATGTCATTGCGTCCTGCCCTCTTTGTCTCAGACCACCGGAGCATGACAATCCGATTGTTGTTCAGCTGGGGATTCCCATTATTCTTGCTGCCCTCATTGAGCAGCCGACACGGGCGGCGAGAACGGGGCCAGCCTCTTAAGCCCAACAACCTGCCACCTGCCTCGCTCTCTTCTCGGGGTTGCAAAACTCTAGAAACACGACATAATATTAAAGATAGGAAAGCACAACGGTAAGAAAGCCCTTTCAAATCTCCTGAGAACGGTAGCTACCAATATCACAGGCGAGACTACAAAACACCAAAAGAAGAATTGATAGGATGGACATTCGAACCGAGCCATTTCGAAGGCCAGGGAAAGCACCGCTTCTCTGGAACCGTACCGTGTGCGACTGCCACTGGTATTACCAATTCTACCTCTGCGGATGCCCCGACCGCGCTACTCCCATAGGGAATGGCCGCACCAGGCACGAGCCTTGCTACCAAGGGTGCGAGGTCTGGTACAAGCCCAAGTGGGAGCAGATCATCAAACTGTCGAGCGGGTTTCGACACAACCCCAACCCGCCCTTGCGCCCGGAACCCAGCGTGCTGCCGTTCCCCTGCCACCGCCACCTGATGGAATCGCGCGTCTTCCTCTCCGCGGAGGAGCTCCATACCATGAGGAACCGGCTGATGGACCCCATGTGGAATCCCGTCAGGGTCCGCACGCCTGAACAAGAACCAGAAGATGCTGCGGAGATTCCAGGAGCAGAGCAGCACCTGGGAGGACAAGAAGCGCGTGCGAGAGGAAGAAGACGACGGACTACCGCCGCCGCCGCCTCTTCGGCGGAGGATCCTGCAACCCGAGGCGGAGGAGATCATCCAGCTCCAGCCGATGATAGGCGGGCTCATGCTGGCGTTGCGCCAAACCCCAAATGACCACCACTACATCGACCCTCCAACTTCAAGCACGGCGTTCCCATCTCCCCTATCATACCCCTGGCACTTCCCAAGTGGTCAATCGGCCTTCCTCGACCCGGACGGGCCCCGTACCTTTGCCGTGCCGGACGAGTCCGACGAAGAGAGCACCCAGAGCCGACGCAGTCTCGCAAGGAGCCCACCACCCCCCTACGTAGGCCCACCAGCCTACACCCGGAACCCTCCGCGCCCAGCACCACCACCCGCCCCACCGCGGGAATCGCCCCCGCCGTACATAGAAACCCCATCATCCTCATCCGCATCACCCCAGCGGAGCACGCAGGACGCAAGCGAGCCCCGCCAAAACCACCCCCCGCGCCGCTCCCGAAACCACTTCTCCTCCCTGACGTGGCTCCTCGAAGAGCAAGCCATCGACCTCTGGCGACAAGACGGCTACCACTGGCACAGCGCGCCAGTCAAGCGCGAAAGGGCCACACCAACCACCACCACCACCAAAACCCCCCAAACCAACAACCACAACCCCCACCCCAACCTTAGCGCAACCGCCCCTCTAATCCGCGACGTAACCTACGACGGGCCGACGCACACGGGGTACTTCCACGGCGCGTACCGCACCGACCCGGCGATGCTGCACCAGGCGCGGGCGGTCAGCTGGCAGCGGGCGGCGGGGGAGGAGGGGCTGGCGTGGGCGCGGCGGGTGGGTGAGGCGTGCGCGGAGGGGGGGGTTGTTTTGGGGGGTGGGAATGGGAGTGGTGGTGGGAATGGTGGGAATGGGGGGTGGTGGTTGCTGGGGGCGAGGTTTCATATGTGAATTGGGGAGGGGGGAGGTGGGTTGATGTATATAGAGATGGGGGATAGGGACATGGGGATGGTGAGGTGTGAGGTGTAGGGGGGATGTATTTCCATGTCAGTGGGCGAGGTAGGTGGGTGAGGAGGAGGGAGTGGACTGTTGAATGACTCGTATTTGAGCACGGAGACGGGGGGAGGTCAATCACTAATTAGGGCAATAGGGTAAAAAGGAGTTCGGCGTTCTTGACGGGCCGGTAGCCCAGAGGTTTGAAAGGTAGGATAATGTCAGGGAAGTATTGACGGATTATAGATTCGGATTGTTTATTCTTCAAGCGAACAGCAGGTTTGTTCTCCCCTGTCTGGCCGGGCAACGGACAATACGCATAATGAGATGGAGCGTATGCCAACGTAGCCTACGCCACAACCCCCAACCATGATGGGCATGGATATGTGACACTATCATCTACATTAGAAGTACACGTATATATATTATATCAGTAAAGCCCACGAGGGTCCCCAACGAAACAAAACGCTATGACGATACGCTGTGCGGTGTTCTGCCGTCAGACAACCCGCCCGCTCCGGGATGGAAAACAACACTGAGAATCGACAAAAGAAACGCGAGACAGTGTCTTCAACCCTAGAGGCCGCGCCCCTAACCAAGACCAAGTCTATCGATCATTGCGTCATGCACGACCCACGCCCCAACCCCTCCCACCCTTCTTCCATCATGTCAAGATATACTCCCTCACCGCCGTAATCTTCTTCCACACATCCCAAAGCCGACACATGATGTCTTCCTTCCAGCCACCGTCATGGCCTACCCAGCTCCTCATCAACACCCCGTGCCAACCCCCCAACATGACATGACCTCGTCAACGCCAACAGCCCCCTCAACCACCCCAAACCCCAAGGCTCATACAACAGTACACAACGGTACAACCCTACAACCAAGCCCAACTCACCTCCCCCTCCCACCAAGAGGAGGCGGTACTCCCAACCCCCCGACCACAACCTCCTCATCCGCATCCGCATCCGCATCCCCCCCCTTATCTCCCCCCTCCTCCGCTCCCCCGTTCACCCCCACCCCCCTCTCCCGATAAATCTCCCCCTTCCTGACGCCTGCCCCCCTCAAACACTCGACATACGTCCGAAACTTCACAATCTCCCTCAGCAAATACTCGCTCTTGCGCTCCCAGTTGGCCATGGCCTTGGCCGCGTTGGCCGAGCGCGGCGAGAAGGCGCCGAGCATGGGGGAGCGCAGGGCGTTGTGGGCCTGCAGGTCGGCCTCGATGGAGCGCACGTAGCTAAGCAGCGAGTCGAGCTGTTCGGGCTCGGCGAGCGGGGAGGGGCGCATGGATTGCGGCGGCGGGGACCAGTCGGTGATGTGGATACGGTCGCCGGGGAGTTTGTGGTGGGAGTTTGTGGTGGTATTGGGGGTGGTGGTGTTGGTGGTGGTGTTGGTGAGGTGGCGCGGGAGGGTGGCGCCGAGGACGCCCGAGGACCCGGAGCCCGGGCGGACGGCGAAGTCGAAGGAGGCAGAGCGGATGGAGCGGCCCGATTGCATGGACGAGCGGCCGATGCCGGCCATGGTGGCGGCTGCGACGGCGGCGGCGTTGACGGCGCTGCCGGGGCGGGAGTGGCCCTTGGCGCTGCTGGGCGGCCGGCCGTTGACGCTGGTGGTGCTGTCGTTGGCGGCCGCGGTGGTGGCGGCGCTCTTGATGATGGCGTCGCTCCAGCCGTACTCGATGTTGGATATCCCGCCGACGAGCGGGTGCGTGCTGAGGCGGGCGCTCCAGTAGTTGGCGGTGCTGACGAACTCTTTGCAGATCTCGGGCGTACCGACCTGGAAGAGGTGCACGGCGCCGGTGGGCAGGGACAGGGCCCAGACGTGCGGGCGGGCGCGGGAGTAGCCTGGTGGGGGGAGCGCCGAGGCGAGGGTCTGGCGCAGCGAGAAGGTGCCCAGGTTGGTGGCATTGTCTTGCCAATTGCCGCCGCCGACCACGGCACCCTTGGGTGGATTCCCGCCCAGGCCCCGACGGTTCTTGTTGCGGAGGGACTTGTTGGGCGAAAAAGAAAAAAGGCTGAGCTGCCCCTTCTGGATGACGGCAAACACCTCTTGCCAGTTGCGGTCCCGAGCCCGCTTGTCGATGCCGTCGAGATGGTGTTTGTGAGTAACGATACCCTCCTTCACCCACGGCGGGCCGGCAAGCTCCAAGGACTCGTCCTCGAGCAGCTGCTCGCTCTTGATCTCCATAGACTCGAGCGCGCTGTCCTCGCGGATGATGGCCTGGCTCAGCGCGTTGGCAAAGCCGATGGACTGGTGGAAATCGCCGCGGGGGTACGACGAGCCAAAGGAATCCATCGACATGGACGTGTGGGTTCTACCCAGTGAGAGTTTGCTCCAGGTCGCGGACGAGTCGGTCGGTGTCCAGACCGAGTTGCCGTCCTCAAAGCTCGTCCTACTCGATGAGAAGCCGGTGTTAAAGCCTCTCGGGCGTGAGCGGCTCTTGGAGTTCCACCTCGACGAGTTCGCCTTGGCCACTTCGGAAACCCGGCCCCGGCTAGACGCAACGCTCTCCGATGGCGCCTTGCTCAGTACGCTGGGTGTCCGCTTGAGCATTCCCATAACCGAGAGGCCGCTGGGGGTTTGCGGGGTAGAGTCGGCGCCAAACAGCGGCAGGCGATCGTCGCGGATCGAGGCGTAGATGTCCTTGAGCACGATCTCGACCTGGTTCTCCCAGGCGCGGAGCGGCCCGTCAAACGGTGCCTTCACAAGCGGGCCACAACTCTCGCCCGGCGTTTGGTCGGAGAAGACACCCAGAGCCGAGTTAGGCCGCGCCGGCGGTTTGAAGGACGCCCGGAAGCTGTTGTGTTTGAACTCGTCAGATGTGCGGCCATCGCCATCCAGATTCCCCTTTCCTGGGAGGATGCTGGGCCGTTCAAACGCATCAGGGACCGATTCCTGGACGGCCTGTCTGATGGTGGTCATGGTGTTCTTGATGAACTGGCTCCTCGTCATCTTGTGGTCGATGTCGGCCATGTGGAGATCGGTGTTGAGCAGAATAATCGAATAGCAAATGGTGTGAATAACGTCTGGAGAATAATCAGCGGATGTCGACGCAAGCGTGCTCGAGAGGACTTACCCATGGACTTGAAGCCGTGGTTAGAATTGCAGTCACACCACCGTTTCGAAAAGGCCACCAAGATGCGGTCGACCTGCTGCGTTTCGGCTCGGAGGAGCAACCGCTGGCACACCTGCCGCAAGCTGGCCACGGCGCTCTGGCCCTCAAAGTCGTAGAGCTCCATGTAAGCCCGCAAGGTCCGCTGGCGCACGATGCCCTCCTCGCCCATCCAGGCTGCCGCCCTGTCCTTCTGGATGAACTCCTCGTTTCCGTCGTATATCCCCTGCGCCTTTTGGCGGTCGTCCTCGGTGGGGTCACCAACCACCACCTCGGGCTCGTCGATCGACTTGGCTGAATGGCTGACGGACTCACCGGTCCCCATGCCCCTGGGGCTGGGCTCCGCGCTGTCGATGCGCAGGCTCGGCACGCTGTGCTTGTACGCAACTCCGCCGCCCGTCTCGGGTGTCAGGCCGAGCGTGTGGGAATCCCGGCGGTCGGTCAGGAGCGTCAGCTTCGGCCCCTCCCGGGCCGACAAACGAGCCTCCCTATTTAGGTTGGGCACGCTTCTGGATTTCGACACGGCGGGCGAGGGCGATCGCGAGCGCCCGTCTGGTCGTGGCTCCGGCTTGAGGCCCTTCTCGCGGGTTTCGGAACGTGGCGGCTTCCGCTGCCGCACGGGGCTGTCCTCGCTGTCGCTGTTGTCCTTTAGGAATGATTTCGGCGGCGAATCCACGGGTGTCCCACCAGTCTGACGGGTAGGAGTGGCGGCGGGACGGGGCCCTGTAGGCTCGGGGTCAACCTTGCGGATGACGGCTTTCGGACTCGGCTCATAGTCGGGCGAGAAGCCTCTCGGTATGCGGCCCTCATCCTCTTCGGCCGCGCCTCTCCCTGAGCTATCCCGGGCCTCGTGGGGCTCGATGGAAGGTAACGGGACGTCGGCGGACGTTTGTACAGAGGAGGAGAGTGGGCTCTCCTGCAGGAATGGGTCCATGGCCCGTCGTAGGCTGGTAATGGGGCTCGGCTCGGGTTTCGCAGAGAGTGCCTCGACTCTGTCAGGAGGTAGTTTGACCAAGGGCACGACCGGCACTGGTGGTGGCTCCGTATCTGTGACCGAGTGCTTCCGCCTCCGAAAGAAGGAGGATGTCTTCTTCTGCAGTGTGTGGGCGGCTGGCTGCTGTGACTCGCGTGGCGGCGGGGTGGAGGATTTGGGTTGCGAAAAGGTCGAGACCTGGGGTGAAGAGGCCGCGCTCGACACGGCGGTTTTGGACGATCCGAACATTCTCCTGAAAAAGCCCTGCTTCTCTTTCGGCTGCGGGGTCACGCTCATGGATGACGGCGGGAGCAGCTCCTTTGCCTTTTCATATCCAACGTGTGGGGCGGGTGCTGAATCGAGGTCGAGGACGGGGAGCGGCGGTGCGTCGCGCAACGGGTTGAACTTGGGTTCTGGCTTGCGACCGACGGTGGCGCTTCTTGAGGATCGAGTACTCCGGCGTCGTTCGGGGCCAGCAGTTCTCGCAGGCGAGTTCGACACCGTCCTAGGCTCGGGCGGTGGCATTACGGGCATCGACGGGGCTGTCGTGAGCTTGCGTGGCCCGCCTGGCACGGTCGGGGTCGGGGCGGCATCGTATCCGTCGTTGAAAAAGGAGCTGGGGAATTCGACCTGCCACGGCGCGGGCGAGGGCCGCTGCTCCCCATCAAAACTAGACGACCTCCCCCCGAAACCGCGGGCCCAGCGCTGGCTTCCCAAAACCTGGGCGTATCCTGCATCGACGCTCGTCGTGCTGCTGCTCTTGCTCCCCTTGCCGCCCCTCGAGTGGAGGGCGCGCCCCGGGCTGCGCTGCGAGAGCTCACGCATGCTGTTGATGCGGCCCAGTCCCGGTTGGTAACCAGAGCTGCTGTTGCTGCGGCGACCCCTCGAGGATATCCTGCTCGCGTCGTCGGCACCCTCAAAGTCGGAGCTGTACGAGTATCCGTGTCCGTTAGCGCGGCCCGATCTCGAATTGAAGGTCGAATTGAAGGTCATAGCACGGGTGTCGTCGTTGTAGGAAGGGTAGATGGCGGGCTCGTCAAAGGCGGATCCCGAGGGGCCGAAAGACGTGCCGACCTGGCCCATTGACAGCTGGTCGAGCGAGAGCAGCATGTTGGTGACGAGCGAGTCGCGTGTAACCTGGCGCGGCGAGAGCGAGAGGTCGTGCGAGTCGCGGGCGGTGGGGCGGTGTGGTTCGGGGCGGTCGTTTTCTTTGTTGGACATGCCGATCGGGATGTCGACGGGGGTGAGGCCCTCGAGGAATGTCTCAATGTCGGCTGTGTCCCGTCCCTGGGCGTCGGGCTGCAGGTGCAACGCCGCCCGGCCACCTGTGGGAGAATCGCCGGTGGGCGTATGCGGGAGGGAGTTTCTATCTCTGTTTCTGTGCCTGTCCCCCTCCTCTCTGTCCCCGTCTCTGTCTCTGTCTCGGTCTCGGTCCCTATCCCTCTCTCTATCCCTGTCCCGGTTACGGTCCCAATCTCTGTCTCTGTTTCTGTCTCTGTCTCGGTTGCGGTCCCGGTCTCTGGCGCGCGGCGGCGGGGGAGGCGGCGGCGGCGACGATGAAGTGTCGATATTCAGGTCGGGTTTGCGCCTACCGCTGCGGCGGGCAGCATTGGTGGTGTCTGGGGCGGGCATGATCGGCTCTTGGGGCACAGCAGCGCAGCGATCCGGGGCTGGGAAAAGCAACAAGCGGGTGGTGGCACACGCAGGCCGCTCGACGCCATCCATCCACAGGCGCTGGTCGGGAACCAATCTCGGGGGCTCAGCCGGCAAGCCAATGCTGCACTGTCGGGATGCACTGGCTTCGCAGCGCGTAGCGACGTGTAAAGAGTGTGCGTCTGTGTCCCGTTTCGTTTGGACAATGCCGTGCCACCGCCCCTGGGATTCTGCTATTGGATGCAAGGGGGGTGCCGCAATTTAGCGAGATCTTCCCACCCGGGCGAGAGGCCCCACTGATGTTCAGTGGAGAAAGCCAACTGTCGGATCTGAGAACTGTCGCGTGTGGTTGGAAAGTTGGAAATTGGAAAAACCAAACCATCGACGAAGGGAGTGCAATCTTGATGTTTTTATCAATTTTGATTACTCGGTAGATGAACCGGCCTACCTCCTGTGCTATGGTTGCATCGCCGTGTTTTGGCGACTGCCGGCGAAGTGGTTGAAGCAGCCGAGCTGCGTTAGCTCGTGGTCCGTTCCTGCAGCACAAAAGCAACCTGCCCCTATTCCCCTGCAGCCCGGAGGCAAAAGCAACCCTCGAGCCCCCTTCTGGCTCGAGCCCGACAGCAGAGCCAATTCGAGGCCGCGAGCGTTTGGCAAGATTTTCCTCGAGCAGGGATGCCACCATGTTCCCTGCATCAACAACATCAACAAAAAGGACGGAAGAATAATCCCAGATGTAATTTGTTTCAGCAAACTGTTTCTGCGCGTTGTGATACCGAACCAAAGAAGGCAATATGGTGATTTGCCTCATTCTATTTATATTGCTACAACCCGTTTACGTGTGTGCCTTGGACGATCTCGACGCTTTTGCCCTCCCAACTGCAGGAAACTGTTTTGCGTGCTCGCGCACTGGCTGCCAAGCGTCCCCGACGTGCAATATCGACCGAGTTTGGGAAACACTGAACTTGCGGTGTTGGGGTGTTTCCAGTGACTGTCGTCATGTTGGTTGGCCATTTCTCTTTCTCGGAAGCCGAACAGTAAGGAGACACGGAGAGGAACGGCTCGCTCGAGCTGTGTCAGTTAGAACCCGAGGGTAACTTTTCTAGTAAGGTACGTACTTACCTACTAACAATACGCAATATCACCCCTCTCATCCATCAGGGACCGCATGCTATTATTCGTATCCCACCGGCCCAATCCTAACGCCGTCCACGACCGATTCTCGACCACCACTTCGTCTATGTGTGTAAGACAACCCGTGCTTGGCGGGATGACAGCTGCGGGCTGCATGCCCGATACAAGCCGTCTTGTTTCATCCTTTGCCACGTGTACGCCGTTACAGCCAAAACATGCGGGGTTCGAGTGCTTTGGTGGGGACGGGATTCACGGGAACTGGTCCACTCCTCGGCCTTCATTGTATCGTCTCAAAGCGGGATCTGCCCCACATCCTCATTCCAGTCTTGAACTAAGAACGACAAGGCCTGAAGGGAAAGTCCCTGTTTACAGCGCGGTCCTGAGAAATAGTGTACCAGAGGTATCTCAGTTGCGGGTCCATTGTTTACAGAGGCTCTCAAGGTCGAGTGTAAGTGCAATTACACCGGACACCCAACATATGTGTTTACTGCTGCTCTCTGCCTAGATACCTACCCTGTCAAGCAGCAGATGATTTGAGAATGGAGTTTGTTGAATATGAGATGAAACCTTGATCTCCTTTTCGATATACGGGTTTCAAATAACTCTAATATTTGACTTGAGATAATTTTCCCCCGTGCGGGGAACAGCGGACTCTCTGTCTGGGCTGTGCATGGCATTACACATCGGACAATAGTGGTGATAATGAATCAAAGAAAGAATCATGATAATGTCGCAATCGACAACTGTATGATACCTAGTTAGGGTAATTACCTATTTTAACCACAAAGCGTTCCAACCCCAGCGCCACGCGCTGCCGCGGCACATACCTCTCCAAAAGAGAAGCCACGAAGCGCGCCTCGCCATCCACCGCCAGGCTCCGCGGGATTTACGAAGATTACTTTCGCCCTCGCCCTTGTCCTCGTCATCCTCGTCTCGAGACATTGCGAGCCGAACAACGGGCCATCCGAGGCGCATCTTGAGCTTCTCGATCACCTTTACCGTTACTTCAATGCGACGGCCGCATACCGCATCGAACTGGGAGCCGACACGACGATTGAGGACATGCGGCTCAAGACCTTTGCAGATGCCTTTTTTGCGGATGTCATATTGAAACGATGGTCAACCGGTACACACGTTGTCTTTCGTCGCGGGAGGCTCAGTGGCGGCAGAGGATGACGAGGGTGAGGGTCAGGGCGAAGACAAGGACGCCACAGACGGCCCAAACCGCTCGGCCAGCGCGATTGTTTGTACGAAGCGCTGGAACAGCCCGTAATTAGTGCACCTGTACCTCCCGGTGCGGGTTGGTTACGCGCGGAGTTGGTGTTCGGTGATGGTCGATGCTGACCGCGTCGCTGGCACCGGGTGGGCGTGGTGGTCGTGGTGACCTTTAAAGCCTCTGCACCTTCCGTTCTACAGACGGCGAGTCCGGTGACTATGCCGGCGTTGGTCAGAGGCAATTTGGGTGTTCGGCTCTGGGGCTCTGCTATTTTCGTCTCAATTACAATTCAAACATGCGACGGACATGCCATTCCATCTCAGTCACAATTGGGCATGTAACGGACATTTCTCTGATATCCGACGGACCTGCCATCTGAACACACACTGCCGCCCGAAAGATGTTGCTACCCACAGCCTTTGATATCAAGCCTTTGCCGGTTTCGTCCGCACTTTGGTAAAATGCTGGTTCCGTCGAGATTGTTTGTGATTGTGAATGTTAGGGAGGTAGGCGGCAACTAAAGTGAAGAAAGAGAATCAAGTAAGGGAAGAAGAAAGTAACCGGTGGTCCGGGAAGTAGAAGAGGAGCGTGATGCCTTTCAACAAGCGACCTTCCTTTGCCCGAAGACCCGGGCCAGCGACGAGGCAGTCCAAGCCGGTAACCAACTTACAACCCCATGCTCTACTTGGATACCCCCACCACTATTTCTGGAAGCCTTCCATCTGATTTTGAGTTTCTACCCGACGTCACATGCACCCCATCATCACACGCAAAGAAACGCGATTCATTATTAACGGTGGGTATCGAGCATGAGATATGTTAAAGCCACAACAAAGCTCCCCGCTCCGGACCACCGTCCCAGAAATCTGGCCGTCTTAGCCAACAATAGATAATCCCAGGGTGGCGATTGTGAGCCTAGGATCACCGGCGGAACGGCGGACGGATGCACTGCCGTGGCGGGCCCAGGACTCGGGCCAGGAGCGGCGACAGTAGCAGGAGCCGAAGCTGCCGAAGGCGGGATCACAGGTGCTTGGCTTCTTTCCCTTGGTTACCGAGGCTAAGTTCATGTGCTTACTGCACTGTGTATTAAAGTAACATGTATTCCACTTCCAAAAGCTAGGGGCGACATGAAAACTGCAAAGCGCCACTTTGAGGTGAGTCAAGATGGGTAGTTACCCTGGAGACAAACCGTGAATTCCATCGCCTACATGTAGGAAGGGCCCAAAGCCTGAAAGTCAGACTCGATGTCAAGGCTCTTTCTAAGTGCCTACCTAGGTACCAGGTACCTAGTTGTTATAAAAGCCAAGTCGATCTATTAAACGAAAGTTGGACCATTCCCAACAAAAGTTTGCAATGATTCAAAGACAAAGACCGAATGAGGGATTTCCTTTGCTTTCCCTCAACCATGACATCAATATCTGAGAAGGCCCTTGCCGAGAGTTGGTTCCAGTATCCCCATATTTGCAAGTACCGATGAAGGACTAACAAACAAGAAGGAGTTGACATGGTCAAGTCCACAGCTCAAAGGGATCGGGACGGCAAGCTGCATCCTCGGCTTGGTGCACAGACACACGTTTATTTCAACAACCACTGATGACCTCAGACACTCCAAGAAGACACAAAAAGCAAGACAAGTACCGTCAGAGCCATAACACAGACGGAGGAAGATAACCACCCCAGAGGTAGCATCACCGAAAGCACAAGAGCAGCACATCCACCATAGCAAAAAGATAAATAGCATACTCCATCTCTCATACCTCGCGAGTCAAGTCCTAATGGTATAATAATCGCATAGCCCAAAAAAAAAACTCCCTTCCTCCATCCAACCCGCCACCCACCATTGGAAAGCAGCGGCGCCATAACCTCAATATGAACTAGCCCATCAAGCCCTCGACGCCCACCACTGCACCAACCAGTTCCTTCCAATGATCGCCATCGTCGAAGGCAGTCCTTTCTCGCACTCGGCTCAGTAGCTCCCCCCTTTTAAGACGATTCTACTATAACCGGACCACCCCGTCATGTCCCCACCCCACCACGACACCCCCCTTAACTTTTCCTACCCCCTTCACCCTCTCCACTTCCCACGTCCCCTCCACCACCCAACACCACCACCAAGCCGCACCATCAAAGAAGAAGAACAACACGACCACCAAAAAGAAGGCAAGGCTACCTCCCCGCCCTCCTCCGCTCCCGTTCCTTCTCCAGATCCCCCCTCAACGCCGCATTCTCATTCTCACTCGCATTAATCAGCTTCATCGCCTCACCGCGGTCCATGATCCGGCCCTCCCGCTCCGCCTTTAGCTTATACTCGAGATCCCTCAGCCGCAGCATCCACTTGGTGTCCACCACAGCGCCGCCCGAACCGGAACCGGAACCGGAACCACCACCGCTGGTGTTAACGGCGGTGTTGGAGGTGGTGTTGCTGTTGTTGTTGGCGAGGGTGTTGGATAGAGGAGGAGGTTGTGGCGAGCGCGGTGGAGGAGGGGGCGAAGGGCGGTGTTAGTGCTGCGGCCTCTGCTCCGGTCGCGGCCGCGTTCTTGGTGGGAATGGGATGCTTGGGTGGGGGTCGGGAGAGTGAGGGTGTCATCGTCGTCGCCGCCGCCGCCGCCGCTTGTCCTAATGGGCGTGACGGGGCTGGCGCCCCGCGACCGGGCTACCCCGATCTCGTCGGCTCCGGGGGCGGCGAGACTCTGTCTGGAGTGGTGCTGGCTGAAATAGTGCTGGCTTGTGCTGCGTGATGGGGTGGTTACGGAGTTGGATGATGCGACGGGTCTGGATAATGTGGACCTGCTGCCTGATTTCGGGATTTTGCTCGCGCTGGCCTTCGCTTTGGGACCCGTGGGTACCGAGGGAGACGGGCTGCCGCCGCCCGGGGAGTCGAGGCCGCCGTTGTGGTCCGCGGCCGCGTACGCCGCGCGACGGGCTTCAGCCGCGGCGCGGAGAGTGTGGTTTTCTACCTTGAGCTGGCGGTAGGCGTCTTCTAGCCGGACGAGCCGGGCTTGGGTTTCGGTTAGGCTGTGGGAATGCGGGGTGATCTGGCCCGTGACAATGCTGTTGCGGACAATGGCCTCGAGACGGTCGAGTTTCTTGGTGCGTTGCTCGAGGTGACTCTCGAGTGTCTGATACTCCCGCCAGAGGTCCTTTTCGACGACCTTGATCTTGCTTTGGGAGCTGCCCATCATAGTCTCTATCATCTTGACGGCGGCGAGGAGGTTCTTGCTAAAGCCCGGGAGCATGGTGGC